TCTATTCAACTTATAAGTTTTTATATTGGCTTCGCTTTTCAATTTGTCTAAGCCCCCACCATGCTTTTAGAGACTTAGTTGCCCAGCCTAGAGCGTTATCTTTGCTTAGCCCGAGACTGAGTCTAACTGCATTCAGAATGGAACGGTAAATAGTTTTTCAATGGCTCGCGCTTTTTATGACGCATAAGCTCGCATTTTAAGGTGCAATTACCCGTCTCCCAGCCCTTATTGTTTTGATACTTAAAATCAATTATGCGAAGATTGTCTAGCTATTTATAAACTTAAATTAGTACATAATTAATATTTGCTTTATATTTCTTGGACCAATGTCATTGTTGCTTACGCTCCCGGCCAGGTCTACCGACTGATTCGTCTGGACCCCCGTGTGCACCATGGCCACAGCCTTCTCCATTTGGCATGTTCGCACGAAACCTCTAAGGTGGGCCGCTATCCAATCTTCCCTTTTCCCAGTCAGGCTGTGATAGAGCTGCTCTGTAAATTTGGCGCTAACCCCAACTGTCTGGATGCCGATGGACAACTTCCGATCGGCATCATCCTTGCCTCGCGCCGCTTGCAACCCAGCACTCAGGTACTCCTTTTTTGCACTAAATCAAACAACGAACCTTGCAATAAAGGGTCAAATCGATTCACTCCTAAAGATCGTAGGAAGACGTGCTTGTCAGAATTTTAGGATATAAATTCTAATGCTTTGCAATTGGCCTATCTCATTGAGTTACTAAAAATGAATAATTCAAAGAATCGGTTACATTAAAGATATGAAGGCCAAGATGGTGTGGCTTCTGGTATGGTCGCAGTCTCCTTTCGATTTATATAATTGGTTTAACTTCATTGTCATAACTTGGTCTTGTTGTCAGGGCGACTTAGTAGAATGCACCTAGTTCGAAGTCCTCTGCCTAGTAGTTGTCATGATTTGCAGCATCGGACAGTGGACTTGGTTTATTCTAAAACGTTTCGCCGGCATCATCAGTGAGTTTGCCATTCTCCGCATCAACCTACGAACTCGTCAGAGACAAGTGGAGTCAATCCCTCGGCAAACGTTCTGCTGAAAATGGTTACACTATCACCCTTCTTTCTGTCCTGGCCTATCTATCTACTCTTATCCCACTCCCGCCCTATCGCAATTTCTCACTTGTGTACATTCCACTCGTCAAAATGTGTGCCCTTTTGTGGCTTCATCACATCTGCTATTCACCCCGACCCCGTCTCTTTCGATTGGCTGATCCGAATTGGGCCTCCAATCCGGATCCCCTCATTGTCTTGTAGATCCGCTCCTTCTCTTTCTGGTTGACCCATTTCACTCGCTTCCAGTCCCAGTGTGTATTTCTCTCCAGGCCCTACAAGCACGTACACTGCCGCTTGACCGAAGAGCGCCTAGGCTCTGATTCCCATGCTTGCAGATATCAGGCCTTCCCTTCACGAGTCGTCTCTGTGATATAACCCATGTTACCTGAGCAAACTGTGGACGCCTATTCCTGGTCGCATGCGGCATCTCAAATGGATTTCTAGTACAATTTTATCATAACGCAAAATTTCCGTGACTGTTTGCTTATCCGTCTGCCAAGCACCCTGACTACCAGTCCTCCAAAGTTGTACTGGTTTATTCGAAATGGACATCACTAACTAAAACGTTTTCGCTTGATTGCCGAAACCCCCCGCCCCTCAATTTCCTCATCGCGATCCATTTTCCTCCGGTTAACGATAGATCCTTTATCCAGGCGTCTCCTTTTTGCTGGTCTTGCTCTATTTTTGTTTTCCCCGAGTTTGCTTAAACAGTTACCGCTAGCTCCACCTTCCTCCAATCTCCTGTTCATCAGATTTTTCTCCCCAAGTATGTGAATGGCCTCCATATTCTTCTTCTTCCTTCTGTTGTCACCGTATGGGATCATTCTTTCTGTTGCCTTCTAATTGATCTCGTGTCCAGTCTGTGCGATGTGTTCCGCTAGTCCTGATTTTCGGTACCCATTTTCCTGCAGAGCCTTCGACGTTCCTTGATTTGTGTGCTAATTTTTCTCCCTATTTCGCCAATATATTCCTGTTTGTATGCGACACATGATATACAGTAAACTCCTGAACAATCAAATTTGTCTAACAGAAGTGGGTTGACCTCGTTGTCGCAACTTGGTCTTGTGTTCAGGGAGACCGAAGTCCGAAGTCGTCTGCCATAGTAGTTGTCTTGACCGTCAGATGCTAGGAATCAAGACAACTACTATGGCAGACGACTTCGGACTCGGTGCGTTCTACATA